TCACAGTTAGCTTCAAAGCTAGAGGACATGGAGAACAGGTCCCGGCGCTCCAATCTACGTATCCGCGGCCTCCCAGAGCACATTACAGACCTAACCTCCACGGCGACGGCACTCTTCCAAGAGCTAGCCCCTGATATCCCTCTTGAACGACTGGAGATAGAGAGGATCCACCGGACCCTGACCCGCAGGCGCCCTGATGGTCCCCCCCGAGACATCCTGGTCAAACTACATTTCTATCGCACCAAGGAAAGCCTAGCTGCCGCAGCCAGAGCCAAGGCTCAACAAGGTCCACTCTCCTTCCAGGGCCACGAATACCAAGTGTTCGCAGATTTGGCCCCTTCCACCATAACCAAGAGGAGGTCCCTGCGCCCCTGTCTCGAAGTCCTCTCTAAACATCATATTCCTTACAAATGGGGATTCCCCTTCCGTCTGCTGTTCTCCCATGGGGGTAAGCATCATTCTTGTACTACCCTAGAAGAAGCGCAACGCAAAATGGCCGACCGGGCCTTGCGGACTCACAACCTGAAGCCATGGACTCCCACAACTCCCCTGCTCTCTCTTCCAAGCGTTCAAGGAGCGACTCGGATCAAAACCACTCCGGTGAGTCAAGTCGCCCGGCGGTTAAGATGTCCACCAAAAACCCCTCGCCGCGCTGAGTTGTCATGCAACCCCCTGAGGTTGGCCCTATCTTCTATACCGCCGGTTGCGGTGTATGTGGCCTGGATCCCGACTGCCGTTTGCAGAGCTCTATACCCTGGGAGATTGCCTCCAGTTGGGGCCAAATCCCCCTGTCTGCCCACTGCGGGAATTCTCCGGCCCTGAGAGCACACCTCCAGTTCTACACCAAGAGCAGACCAAAATACAAGACGCCCTGGAGTTTTGGATCTTCCTGCAGTTGAAGCAGCACCCCACATGAGACATCTTGTCGCCAGGCACGGCTAAGACAGTCAACTACCATGGTTTTCCCGTTACCCCGCCAGGGTTCTCCCGTTACCCCACCGAGAAGAAGCTTATTCCCTGTTTGTTGCTCATCCTAAGGCATACCCCTGCTCTCACTACTCGAGTTGAATGCCCACAAGAACTGTTAGCCTCTTTCTATCATATATCCTTTATGATGATGTTCTGCTTTGTTATGCATATGTTCATGTTTTTACCAGGTTTTCGGGTGGATCAGTGACAGGGGGAAGATCTTTAGAGACCTCGATGGCTTAGTGGCCCAGGCCTAACCCCCTTTTTCGAACCCGCACCCTGGTACTATGGGTGCATCTCACAATGGACCCTTAGTGAGCCCTGTGGTAGTCCAACAATCTAACAAAAAGATCTTTACTATCCCACTTACTAACTTCCAAAATCTAAGGGAGGACTGGCAGTCGCACTTGTCTAAATACTTCTTAGCAGCACAATTGGGTCAATTGGTAAAATATCACTCAGTAATTGAAACTCCGGCTTGGGTGGACTTGGAAAGCACCTTAGTGAAGCCCTCGTCAGTGGCTAACTTGTTATGGCTGGCAGAAAGGGTTAAGAGATTTGCATTCTGTTTTTATGTAGATTTTACACAGCGTCCCAACTTTTTGGGAAACGGGGTTGTAACACATGACGATTCCCAGAGCACTATTTTTTTTAAACTGGAAAAAGTGAAAATAGGCTTAAAGCTTATGAAAATGCATAACATTAAGGAATATGTAAGGAAACAAGTTAGAGCAAATGCATACCTAACCTTCGTTCTCTGCATTTCAAGGTCTGACATCACTATGCTTCTGGCCAAATTCCTAGGGAGTCATGCATACCCCAAATCTTGTGGGAAGACAATCTAGTCCAGTGCAAGGGCTTCTTCTCACACAAGATTTGGGATCCTCATCTTTCCCAGGATCTCGCAGGAAGGAGCGTGAGGTCACACTAGGCAAGGTCCCAAAGATGGAAGACAAGGGTTAGGTAAATATATATTATAACTTTTTTCCTTACAGGTATATATTCCTACTAGATATGGAGCGATTTCTACAGGGGAGGTGTCCTGATCTAATTAGCAGATCTTAATATATTTTGTGTGTGTATAT